AAATTGATTCTAGGATATCCTAGGTTCTTATCTTCTAACATTGATTCTAGGATATCCTAGGTTCTTATCTTCTAACATTGATTCTAGGATATCCTAGGTTCTTATCTTCTAACATTGATTCTAGGATATCCTAGGTTCTTATCTTCTAACATTGATTCTAGGATATCCTAGGTTCTTATCTTCTAACATTGATTCTAGGATATCCTAGGTTCTTATCTTCTAACATTGATTCTAGGATATCCTAGGTTCTTATCTTTTAACATTGATTCTAGGATATCCTAGGTTCTTATCTTCTAACATTGATTCTAAGATGTCCAAGGTTCTTATCTTCTAACATTGATTCTAGGATATCCTAGGTTCTTATCTTCTAACATTGATTCTAAGATGTCCAAGGTTCTTATCTTCTAACATTGATTCTAGGACATCCTAGTGCTAAGATCATTTCGAGAATACGTGGCCTGATAAGTCCACTAATAAACAAAGACTCATTTTAACCAAGTTTAAAAATTTCAATTTTTTGGTCATCCTAAAAGGTAGTATCCCTTTAAAAAATATTGATAGTGTTTGTAATAAGAGGATATTATTTCTGTACTCGATATATGAACAATATATAATTAATACTATAAGGTTATTGCCCTCCTTCAAATAAATTCAAACTATTCGTAGTTCTACATCAATATTTAGCCAATTTCAAATTATTTACATAGACGCTCTCACTTCCAGTGGTGTCCATTTTTTTGGATATTTTTGTCTCCAATTTAAACAGTCTAATTAATATGAGACCAAACTTTCCTTCCGTATTTTGTGAGTTTTTATTTTTAATATAGCCACTTCAGTTAATCTTATTAATGTTAGACCAAACTTTCGTTCCGTTTTTTTGTGAGTTTCTATTTTTAATATAGCCACTAGGGTCTAAAGACAGCCCTCTTGAATGTTCGTCAAGTTAACCTTTGACTTAATCTCTACTTTAACCGCCGAGTTAGGTCAAAAGGTTTTAGTGGAATTGCAGGAACCACAGACATCTGATTGGAAATTAGAATGGTGTAAATTGATGCTATCAGTGTCTCTGATACACATAAAATATTTAGAAAACCTCTTTACAATCTCTTTAACAAGAACCACAGACATCTGATTGGAAATTAGAATGGTGTAAATTGATGCTATCAGTGTCCCTGATACACATAAAAAATTTAGAAAACCTCTTTACAATCTCTTTAACAAGAACCACAGACATCTGATTGAAAATTAGAATGATGTAAATTGATGCTATCAGTGTCCCTGATACATATAAAATTTTTAGAAAAACTCTTTACAATCCCTTTAAGCCCTTGATTTTTTTTTTCAAGTTTAGAATCAATAAATAGATCAAAACGTGGAATTAAAAAAAATATATATCCACACAAAGATGACTCGTCAACTCTATTTGGTCGATCTCTAATCATTTTTTGTAA